TTTTTTTTTTTTTTTTTTTAATGTGTACTCTTAAATATAACTTTTTCATCTGTCATACACTGATTTTGTATTCCAGATGAACTTTCAAAAAAATTAAGCAGGTTTTTTATTTGTGAGCAAGAAAAGGAATAAAGTTCTATTATTGCAGAAAAAAACAGGTAAATATAAAGCACAGTACATTTTTCTGACTGCCTCTAATTTCCTTTTTCCCCTTTTTTTTTTTTTTTTTTTTTTTTTTCTCCAGTGATGACCTCTTCTCTCTGCCTTACTGTCCAGGGAGAACCCTGGTGGTTGGAGCTTCCTATGTTGCCTTGGAGTGTGCAGGATTTCTTGCAGGTCTTGGATTAGATGTCACTGTAATGGTGAGGTCCATTCTCTTAAGAGGATTTGACCAGGACATGGCAAACAGAATTGGTGAATATATGACAGAACATGGAGTCAAGTTCATTAGGCAGTTTGTGCCAATCAAGGTAGGCTCAAAGTGACTACAACTGATTGGGATGTACCTACCATAATGTTTTAAGATGCAAATTATTTTAATTAATACAAAACTTGAACTTTCATTATAGTATCTGCTTTGACACAGAGCAGGTAAATTTTTGTTTTAAAGTAACTTCATGAAACTTGAATTGAATTGGTATAATTGAAAGGTATAATTTAATCTTTATATGAAAATTTTGTGAGATTATGAAATTCATTGGTTTTTAGCAGAATTAGTTGGGTTAGTATATGTTACACTGAAAATGTTACACCTGCTTGTCCTGGTTCTTCTTGCAGGCCTATAATTCAGCAGATAGATTATTTCCTCTAAGATCAATGCATCACAAACAATTCAATTTTTCATTGCCAATTTAAAAATTTTTAGCCAGCAAATACTGTTTTATATGCTGAGGATTAGTGGACTATCCAGAAAAATAAATGGGCTTTATAAGTATCATCTGTATCATTTACTTGGCAGAGTATCATTTACTTGAAGTATGATACTTGAAATATCATTTACTTGGCAGAGTCCTTAAATACTTGCTCAATTCTTGTTGAATTCAGTAAGAGTACTCATGCAGCTACTTACATACATGTATAGTTAAATTCAGGTGGAATTCAAACTAGATAAGAAATTCTGGAGCTTTTCTAATGCAAAATTGCCCTACCAAAGACTTCAGAGGGTGCAAACAGTATTTTTCTTTATTTTTTTTCACAGTAGTCCTTAATTGTTTTGAAATAGCAAATCATGTATCAAGCAATTTCAATTTGATGTTAAACCAGCATGCTGCTGGGGATTAAAACATTAAATTCAATGAAGACTGTTCATTTCCACTCTTAACAGTATCAAGAGCAGCTTTAAAAATTTTAAAATGCTCTTGTCAGTTCCTAATGTGGGTCTGAGCCTCTCTCACAGAATGAGAGTTGCTGTGAGGAGACAAAAGGGATGTTTCCAGGAACTTAGTTCTTATGTAGGCTTTTGTTGCATAAATCCCATGCTGTATGAAATGTAGGGATGATGATCTAGGTTTCGTTGCAGACATTACCTTTTGTAAGCTCTAATGGGGAATGAGAAAGAAGGAAACTCATGTTTAGAAGCAGATAATTTCAACTAAATGGAAAGCAGGCTCCTCCAGATGCATCTATTGATGAGCAGTCCATCACCACAGTCACAAAATGCACTTCTGTGTATTTTACCCTCTCCCTTCACAATATGTCTTTGATTTCAATGGGAATAAAATATTTGGCCCTGTTTCTGATTGAGAATATCCTTCAGCTTAAGTTGCTTGGTAGGGTTTTAGCAGGTTTTCTCATCTCTTTGAGACATTGTGTTTGAAGTTATGCCTGTTGTGCTTATTAAAACCTTTTGTTGGGACTTTTGAAGGCAGAAGATGAGTTATTATAAATAATGCTGCCTTTGAACAGAAGCAGTTTAGCACAGTGATCCTTTGAGGTTGTTAGGATGACACAGTTGGCTTTTCTAAATTAAAAAAAAAAAAAGGACAAAATCTTCATCAGAAACTTTGCTCTGTTTGTCTCTAAATATTGAACATGAAGTAGGAACAAGGGTGTTGTTGAAAAGTACTTTTTCTTCTGTAAATTTCCCATTACTATGTTAAGTGTTGCACACTTACATGTCTCTTGTTCTGTACTGCTGAGGGTTTTCTATCACAGTGGCTTCCCATGGGTGGAGGGAATGATGGCAGCACTTAGAGAAAATATCTGATGGTGTTTCCAGGCCTTGAAAGAGTTTCCTTCCTACTCACTTCCTCTGTCCCCAGTGAATACAATGGGTCATATGATGGGCTTGGATAAGAACTTAACCATCAGTCCACTTTTATAAACAGAAATGAGATTTTGTTGTGTTGGTCATAAGAATAAATGCAGGAACATAAAAAAATCACATAAAATATGCAAGTAGAAATGTCAAGAATCTTTAGAGTAAGTGCCTGGTTTTAGATCATGGTTAAAACTCTCTCAATGATGTTTGGTGGGGAAAAATACATTTGTATACATTTGTGTATTTTTATTTGAAACTTATTTTTTTTTAACCAAATCAACCCCCAAAATGTTGTAGGTTGAGCGGGTTGAGGAAGGAACTCCTGGAGTACTGAAAGTTACAGCCAAGTCCACAACGGGGGACCAAATAATTGAGGGGACATACAATACTGTGAGTCCTGTCTATGTGCATGAAGAATGTGAAATAGCTTTCCATTAAATGTTGATACTTTGTGGGGTGTTTTTTATCTACACTTTAGATTTTTAAAAAAATATTTTAGTAATTACAATATTAATTGCACATAATCAGCAGATAATTATTCTGGAAATAAAAGTCCCAAAGTCAATGGTTATTTTGCCTTGCCAAATCATTTTGCTTTGCTTTTGAAACCTGTTTCTTAGCTTAGAGGTGTAGATGAGCTTGGTCCTGTGGAATGAGTTGCAGGATTTTTTCCTAGTAGGATATTTGCAATAAATGATAAGTAATGATTTATAATAGCTTTCATAGTAATTAGGGCACGTTTTGTAGTTAGGACAAAACAATGGTCTGCGCAGGGGTTAAACAACCCAGTGACATGTCATCTCAAGAGCTGTTCTTGACACATCTTCACAAACACAGCTAATGCCCTGTGGCAAGTCAGTCAGGAAACTTCATTGCACACTTAAAACAGTAAAATGGCAGTGTGCAGGTGTGGTATTGTATGTTTGATTGGCTCACTCCACTCATTTTCACAGGCTTTGATGCTGAAAGGAGGAAAAAAAAAATGTGACTAGAGTAATTGGAACCACACAAAATGCATAAAGACAGGCATTTGCCAGCCTGAGACTTCACACTGCAAATACTGCATGCAGTGACCTCATTTACCTGTACACTGCATCAGTCATCCCCTAACAAGGACACACCTCAGTGCCTCTGGGAGCCAACACTGTGAGACAGTTTAACAATGACAGCAGAGCTATTGCACAGGGCTGTAATACTGGGGCTTTTCTAGTCCATAATAGTGAAAGCTCATTAGCAAGGAAATCAATACCATCCTTTTATTAAGGAAACTTCTGGTTTCTTATTGCTACATCATCACTGAAATGCTGTCACTCCTCATAGAAGCTATGAGCTGTGTGTGCTGCATTTTAAGACCTTTAGCTCTGAAAATGTGGTGTGTTTGATCATCTGTAAGACTTGAAGAAGATCTTGGGATTTCTTCAGGACTGTTCTTAGTTGTCATAATATGAGAAGCATTATGCAGTTATCTGGGCAGTTGTCCAAGACTACAAAGCATGTAGCAATTTCCCTTTGTGATAGCAAAAGCTGGAGCATGATTTGTTAAGGTAGCAGAGTTGATAGGATGGAATTTTGGCCTGAATAAATGTTCAAACAAATAATATTAAAAAAATAATATTCTTTGACAGTTATTGGCTGAGAGCCTATATAAGTAAATTATATTTTCAGATTAAAAAAAATACTATTTTGTTTTATTTTTTATTTGCTTAAGCATCTGAGTTTCTTTCCTAAAGAGCCCTTTCTTTATGGAGCTTTTTGAGGTCATTTGCTCTGGTAAGGATACAGGATAATACCTTGGTGTAAAACTGGAAGGAAATAAAGAATCTCTCCCTAACTGATTGGTTTAGAATATTCTTGGGGTGTTCTTCTAGGGAAAGCTATTTGCATGTCTTTAATCTTAACATTAAAACCTACTTAGGTCATGGTGGTAACATGGTTTGTCTTAAGCTCTATGAATGTACAGTGCACAACAAATGTATTCACCTTACTGTGACCAAGCCTTAGATACTAATCTCTAGTATATATTTGAGATAATAGCCAAAGGAAAGTGCACTTTTGTGTTTTTAAAAATATTTCATGTGCATTGCTGTTTTGCAGGTGCTGCTGGCAATTGGACGAGATCCATGCACAAGAAGAATTGGTTTGGGCAAAGCTGGAGTGATTATCAATGAAAAGTAAGGACAGATGTCAGTGTACCACTCACTACTGAGCTTGTGTCATGTGCTGTTACAATGGTAGTGGTGCAGAGACACCCAAAAGCTTTGAGGGAAAAGTTATCCCTTGTACACTTGGATGGGAGACCATGTAGCAGACAACTGCATTTTCTCTCACAGTAATGGTAGTTTGCTTTTTTGTTGCTGAAATGTCAATTTCTAATTCCTGGGGGAAAAAAGTGTCTGTTTCATTCTTTCTAGATTTACAAGTCTATCTTAACTTCTTCCAGTCACAGGGTTTTCTGGGGTCTGTCAGTTGTTCCTTGTACTCTTTTTTTCTCATCTCCTTGCTTTTATCATCTCTTGGAGCAAAACTCTGTTTGTTCATACAGGCTTTTAGAGCAGTGACTTCTATTTATATTTTAATGTAAAAGTTACTATACGTTATTTTGAAAGATAAGGTTCAAGGTTTAAGGTTTGTTAAACTCCCAGGTGTTCTTGATGTGTTTTAGGTTTGGAGGGTTTTATTTCTTGCCTTGAAGCAGCCCTTGGGTATAATCTGTGACTTCTGTAGAAGAGTATTTGATGTTTAATGTAGTGAGATTGTCGCACCAGGGAGTGGAGCTATCAGTAATATTTTCAATATTGATAACTAAAGCTTCTTGGAGGCATGTGGGTCCTCAGAGATCTTCCCTTTGAAGAGAAGACAAGGGACCATGACCTTGACCAACGCAGAGTTTTTATATATGAATGCAGTAACTGACGTTGTCAAGGGGATATTTCAAATTAGTGGAAATTTTGGTCCTCTCAAAATTGGCAGATTGTGGCTTGTATAACAGTACACATCTTTCTAATGTCTGGACACTTATTCCTAGTTTAACAGAATGAACTATAAAGCTATTAGCATAAAAAGTATAATTTAAACAAGTGTAAAATTGAGGAAGTTAGTTTTTTAACATAGGAATTGCCACTAGTCTCTCAAGTAACTGTGTGACTAATTCTGTGTCTGTCTGATTAGATTTCCCTGTTACATGTGTTTTCCTTTGGTGATTACTGCACTATCTCATTTATTGATGAAGTAGGAAATATTAATAATTAAAAGCTTCCATTAGCTCAGTGCACTTACAGCTAAAAAGCTTGCTGGCTGTCCCTTGGGTAGGGTGTGTAACAGCTTAACCTGTCTCTGAGTAGAACCCTGAAGGATAAGTTTCTATAAACAGCTTCAGCCACTGGACTGTAATTTCAGTAGTGGAAAAATTGTTTTGTCCTACAAATGGAGTGGGAGAATGTCTCTTCCTGTCATTCCTGAAAGGTGCCAGCTCAACTGGTGGTAGAGGATGTTTCAGGAAGAGGTTTATGCTTCACCTCAGTGATTCAGGAGATGAACTGCAGCTTCTCAAGCTACCTCCTTATCCAGTGTGTGAAATCCTGTAGTTTTGGTCAAATTTTCCTTATTTTATATTCATGCCTGAGACTGTAAGATTATGAATATGAATTCTCTCATAGTTCACACACAAGTCTCTTTCTCTTAAAGCTAAGGAGCCGACAAGGTTATTTACACCTCCAGCCCTCACAGCAGAACACTTAGATATTTTTTCTTGTTAATTCCAATCGCAGAACAGGAAAAATTCCTGTCAATGATGAGGAGCAGACCAATGTGCCGTACATCCATGCTATTGGAGATATCCTGCAGGACAAGCTGGAGCTCACACCAGTGGCAATCCAGGCAGGAAGGTTGTTGGTTCGAAGGCTTTATGCTGGGGCAACCACTAAGGTAAGGAACCAGTTGCCACAAAACACTGTCACTGCTTCTAATTGCACAGTGCAAGTCTGCTTGCTTGTGGAAAACCCAGTAGAATGTTAAGGATTAGCTTTGATGATCATTTTAATTTTCCCCTGGCAAAGATATTACTGCAGATGTGTTCAGCTAATTGTGTAGGATGAAATTAATACCTTGTGGATTAAGCAGTAGTCTCTTTCTTTTCTTATTAAGAGGGTTTAGTTTTCTCTCAGAGTATAATGATAATGAAATTAACAGAGATAATTTAACTTGTTTTAAATTCTATTGCCCTTGCTAAAAGTCAGCAATCTTTTCCATCCTATTAAGTGCTTTAACACCAATTGAAAGGCAGTTTACTAAACCTACCTATGGTCTCTAAATAGAGTGGAATATGAGTTTGTGATGGTCTTAATTTTCAGTGTTATTTCACAATTTTTTTTTTCACTTCTCACTTGTATGTTTTCAATATAACATGAAGTCCTAATTGTAGTTTAATGAAGTGGACACAATGGGAGATCAGATGTACCAGTAACTCAGCACATGTTAATACCTGAGTAGTTGAATTAGTGGTTTCAGTGTTCATGTTTTGTACTAGTGCAGTTCTGGGTTTCAGCCAGGTTATGGTTGTTCAAATGGGAGCCATGTGGGTAGTCATTTTCACCTTATGTTTAAACCAGAAGGAAAGGAGAGTGCCTTTAAAGAATTGCTACACTGATATGGGTGCTTGTCTCACCTTTATAACCATATGGCATGACCATAAAGGTTTCTCCCTTTCAGAGTCTGCTGTATTCATAGTAAGTTCAACTGCAACTTCAACACAGCAAGTTCAGATTTAGAGCTTGATTGAGTTGTTTGTTTTACATTGGCAGGTACTGCAGTAACAGAATTCTGAATCAGTGTGCATAATGTCATTGAATTAGCCAGGCAAGGTTTAAGAAACTGTAGTAGAAGCCAGATTTTTTTTATTGCTGCAATGCTATGGATATGTCTTAATTTGCATTTTATGCCAGATAAGTTTGTTAAGGTACAAAAATTGTTATGCTACCAAAGGAAGCATTCTTATTTAGTGAATCCAAGAAATGAGTAACTACTTTAAAAAAAAGGGAGTGTGGCTTATACTGCCTTTGTAACAAATCTGGAGAAGGTGATTGAAATGTAAGAAGGTGTTATGGATAGGTGGGGCAAGAACAGTAGTCAGCGTCTTAATTAATCCCCAGTCACAAAGGAAATTAATTAGAATTGAAATATGTAGAAAATAAAATTGCTAGACATGAAATAGAGCTGACCAGCCTGCTAGTCTGCAGAATTACTCATGTGGTGTATATGGGAAGAGCAAGGGATGATTGTTTATTTTGAGTCCAGTGAAGGCTTTTGATGCTGTCTCCATAAAATTATCTTGGACAAAGGGATGAATTGCAGGCTGGGTAAGTGGCCAGTGGGGTGGGTTGAAAACTGGCTGAACAGACAAGCTTAAAGGGCTGTGACCAGCATTCCAGAGACCAGCTGAAGGCCAGTCACTGGTGGTGTGCCACAGGCTTGGACTTGGGTCCAGTGCTGTTTAACATCTACACTAATGGATCTGGATGCTGAGAAGAAGTGCGCCCTCAGAAAGTTTGGAGATTATACAAAACTGGGAAAAGTGACAAGCTTTCACTGTGTCCCCACATGGCTGTACTACATGTCATTGGTTATTTTGGCATCACCTAGGGCCACAGCTGATGAAAAATGAGTTTTGAATGGTAGTGGTGCCCTTGCAGCATCTCCAACTAAAAAGAGTATGCTTTGTAGATGTGGTTGAATAGGCAAATTTTATCTCCAATCTGGCCTGTGATCTGGTATGTTTTTAAAATGGGGCACTGAATTTCCCTTTCCACTTAATCAATGCATACTAATGTTAGTGTGGCTTTAAACTGTCTTTTTGTTCTTGCTCTAATTAACACCTTCTGGAATGAACAAACACAAAACTGTACCTTAATTTAAGACAAATTTTAAAAACTAAAAGAGTTTTCAGAATTGTGAATAATCAAGCTTTTCTTGCTGTGTTTCAGACTGCTGTATGCTGATTTTATTACTGATGTTGTGTGGGTTTTTGTTTTGTTTTGAATGCCATCCAGTGTGACTATGTGAATGTTCCAACTACTGTATTTACTCCTTTGGAGTATGGAGCCTGTGGGTACTCTGAAGAGACCGCAGTGGAGAAATTTGGGGAGGAAAACATTGAGGTAAATGCCTTAATTTCATCTGGGTTTTAGTTTTCCAATTTGTAACTTAAAATAATGTTAAGAGTAAATTAAAACAGCATTTTGTGCTCTGATGTAAGGACAGGAGGTGACTAGGTACATTTTTTGTCTTCCTTGGCTGTTCCTAGACATGTTATTAAAATAATTCTCAATTCCAATAGCTCTAATTGCAGATATGTTCTATTTTTGGCAAAGAGGGGCTTAGAGGTGGAATGTTTGGTTAAAAAAATGGAAAAAGGGTTTCTTTGTGTCTGAAAATACTTCAGGATAATTTTAAATTGGATATATACTGGAAGCAATACACTGGTTTTAATGACAAAGTGGAGCTTTTGTACCTACATTATGGCAAATTCCTTACCATAGTAATTTTTACTTTATAAAGCCAAATATTACACTAATTTTTCCTGTTTACTTTGACTGTACAAAGAGGTATGTGCTTAATTTCACTCATGTGAGTAATCCCTTTTCATTCCTTGGGATTGCTGGTCAGGAGTGAAATTAGACAAAGATAAGCACTTAGTGCCTGAGGCTGTTCTTCCAAAATGCTGTACTGACCACACTACAGAAAGCATAAGGGGAGGAAATCTCACAATAAACTGAACTTTTATATCCTACAAATATCACCTGAGGAGCATTATTTACAGAAATAAGTGGGTAAGTGGTAGTGCATGAAGCTGAGAACTTGTCCCCCTCTTAGCTGACATTTTCTGATTTGTACTCTGGAGGAAAATAAGCAAATACCACTCAAAATGGCAGTGTGAAAAATACTGTTAACCTGACCACAGGCAAAGGCTTAAATGCTTTCCTGCCCACAAAGTTTGTATATACTCAGTCAAATTATTGTTATTGAGTGAAATTCTTGATGTTATATGTGAAACACTGGGCCCTTTATTCTGGAAAATAATGTGCTTTTGAATTTCAAAGCATTTTATATTTTAATATGTGCACCCAGAAGAATTTGTGTTCTGGCTAAGTGCTCATTTGGTGTATTCTGAGCTCTTTCCTGTATCACCTTATTGGCTTTTTTTTTTTTTTTTTTTTTTTTTTAATTTTTTTTTTTTTTTTTTTTTTTTTTTTGCAAGCTTCAGTAAGACTATTGAGTCACTTGTGATTTTGTAATTTAATAAAAGCATGGTGAACTGTGTTTTGGAAGTATAATATTCTTATGGCTTCTCTTTTTTTTAATTATTGGATGGCACTAGTGCTTGGTTTATAGAGACTGCTGTCTTTGGCATTCATTAAGGGAAAAGAGTATCATAATGATTTCAGATGTTCTAAATGCTGTGTACATAGCTCATTATTTAGGATAATCTGGCAGCTTTTGGAAGATCATGTTCTCTGCTTGGAAATTTTACAACTCTTTTTTAATCTGTGGTTTTTTTCAGGTGTATCATAGTTATTTCTGGCCACTGGAGTGGACTGTGCCATCCAGAGATAACAACAAATGTTATGCAAAGATAATTTGCAATATTCAAGATAACGTAAGTGCATCTTTCCTTCCTGGGAAAACAATATCTAAATGTTTATCATAACACTGTTGATGATACAACAGCTATAAATAGGTTGTTTTTAACAAGTTAAAATTAATTTAAATTTGCCTACCTTTTGAAGTATAATAAATATTTATAGTGATGCATATTTCTGTGTATACAAAACCAACTCCCAGTAAAATACAAAATTCTGCCATTGCTATTTGTATATGGTACTTCTTCCATATATGTAAAATAAGAAGTAGAGATCTTTAAGGCTGTTCATTAACTTTGAGAAGTGAGCAAATCAATGCATGTAAAAATAGTCAGGAGTTTTATTGGTTTATCTCTCCTCCCTACACTTGGGCATTCTCTTCTGGGAGACTTCTCTTTGAAACTGAGGTCTCTCAGAAGCCATTACAACTTGTAACCTCTCCAAATTCACATGTGTTCAGAGAACTCTTGAGCTTGTTCTAACAGGATAATGTATCTTGCCTGCACAAATCCCATTTGGGGTGATAATGCCTGGATTATCCTTGGACTAGGATCAAATTTCCTGGCCATGGAAAGGTACAATGCCTTCTCAAGCAAAAGCAAAGCTAGCAGTTTGTTAGAAAATTGGTGTGCCCATCTCAGAATGATCATCACCTGTTCAATAAAATGTAGTTGATTATAAAAATATAACTTATTTTGAAGAGTAATATTTTATTAAAATGTATTCCTGTTAAGATGGTGGCATAGCTATCTGTCCTATGAGAAAAAACCAAAACTTACTTAACCTATATTCATTTTTCTTAGATACAGATTTATCTTCCTGCAGTCTTTCTAAACATCCAGTCAGCATTTTGTAAAATTTGCAAACCTGCCCATCTTCTCTTTCTGGTGGAGTTTGCAGTAGTGTGGAAGGTATTTTAGAACCTCTGGCTGTGCTCTAATACAGAGCCACTTAAAAAAATGCAAAGGTGTAATGGTGATTTAAAGTGTTTCATTAATTTATTTTCACTTCTTGTCCTGAAAATTTGAAATGTGTTTAAACATCTAAAGGTAGTGTTGAAAGTTACCCTGGAAAAAAATAGTTCAGCAACTGTTTAAAGCTCTCATTGCTTTGGTTTCATTGCTGTGGTTTTATTTTGACATATGTCAATATTTTTCAAGGAAAATAAGGATAATTCCATTTTACTTATTACCCAATTATAGCTTTTCTTATTTAAATAAACCCTGTGGTAAATTTCAGTCCTCAGACTTACTGAAAGAATAATAACCTTTCAGTAGTATTCACTATAGCAAACGTATGTGATATTTCTCAGGAAGAGCAGATAACTTTTGATACTCAACGGGGGTACATCTATGCTCACCAAAAACTGATGAATTCCCTGAAGGCCACTAAAGCCCATAGCAGGTGACACGTGCTAAATTTTCATGTTTCTCTCATTAAGAAAAGCAGGTCAAGTCAGTACAGCTTGTTCTGCTGGGTGTTTTCTGAGGATGTATGTGCAGTGTGATGTGTTCTGCAGTTGAACAGGAGTATAGAGAGGAGAAGTGTGAACAATACCTTCCTTGTAACTGGATGTTTTTTTTGCCAGTCTCTAAGTGTATTATCTCCCACTGAAAGCCAACACTGCCACAAGAGTCATTGACAGTTCAGTTAGAACAGACTTCTTGCCATGTCTGGTTGGCCACAACTTCAGCTTGTGGTCCTTTCCTGTGAGCAACTATCAAACTGAAAATTCTTCAACAGATACGGACCCTGTAGCTGCCTACCACAGGCCCTCCTACTGAAAATCTTAATGCAGGGTATTCACCTTTACTTAGGCAAGTGTTCTGTTGGCATGAGTGGAATAACTCACCTGAATAAAATTTCAGAGCACAGAAATGTGTAATTGAGCACAGACCATGGGGTGTGTTAAATTTGCATGCTCTTCATGTACTCCTGTACAAAACTTTGTAAGAAAGCTGACTCATGAGTTCCTAATTGAATCTTTGGAGAGAGAGAACAAAATTACACCATCTCACATCTGTTGGTGCTAATGATAGTTCACATTTTAGTGGTTACATTAGTTTGTGATATGTTTTGTGAACTGATTAAATTATATACTCTGAATAAGAAAACTTTACACGTCGTTTAAGAGAGCTGAATTCATGACTGTGTTTGCATTTGATTGTCTTTGGCATTTAGGAGAGAGTCATTGGTTTCCATGTCCTTGGTCCAAATGCTGGAGAAATCACCCAAGGGTTTGCAGCTGCTATTAAATGTGGGTTGACAAAAGAACAGCTGGACAACACTGTAGGAATTCATCCTGTCTGTGCAGAGGTTTGTATACAAAGTCACCTCAAAGCCCAGCTTTCATGCCATTCTGGGGTAAGGTGTTGGAAATCTGAATAACAGAGCTCTATTAAAGAGGTCCAAATTTGCAGGAAGGTAATGGAGAGGAAAGGAGAGGAAATTATCTGGTTTTAATATTTAGAATTCTAACTCAGGCTTAATCTGGGGATTTTTTTTTTTTTTTGTCTTTTTAATTCTGTTCATTTTAAAGAAATTTATGGCTTCCCTTAATTCAGTTTTCTCTCTACTGGGAAGTATAGAATTTTTATCCCACTCAAGATTATGAAGGCTTCAAATACTATTTCTGCTAAAGTGGTTGTCAAAGCTAGATTAGTGTACTCAAAATAGGCTTACAAACTGGTGCTGGGGAAGGGGACCAGCTACATGACAATTTTTCTATTAAACTCTCTCCTCTTAAAGATGTTTTCTTTATCCTGTAGGCCTTCAATTAATGAAGCCACACAAATATTTCTTCTTCTTTTTGTCTTGCTGTTCCTCTTTAATGAAGAGCTCCATTTTCTCTAGCAGGTGTGGGACAGCTCCTCCCAGATGTAAATCAGTGATTGATTTTAGCAGCATTAGGACCAGCCTATATTAGCTGGGGATCCCTGAAAGCCTGTTTATGACCTGTATAACTCTTTATACAGAGTCTCTGGTTGTGTTAGAAGTAAAGCAGTACAAGAGAGCATCAGAATGCTCCTCTGCAGAAGTGACATCTGCCTCTCTTCTTTCCTAATTTCGAGGTGGCTTAGTAAAAGCAGTATAATAAGGACTCCATTAACAGACTGCTAGCAATCTGAATCCTCTACAAAGCATCCACAATACAGATTCTGTTCTTTGTAGCACCATCTAATGGCATTCTTGCAGGCCCTGGAAGGGGGCTAGCAGGTCCTTATCTTCCCAGGGGCTCTGTGGAGGGGGATCTCTGAGGGAGGGAGGCATTCAAACCTGTGAACTCAAGTGGGGTATTAGCATATGCAGTGCGAAGAGAGGATGAGAGTCATAATTTATTCTGGACATCTGAGCTGCTAAAATTGAAACTGAATAGAATGATGATTAGACATAATTCAGGGAGGTAATTTCAGATAATCATATTTGTTTGAGTGGGGGAGGAAGAAATTGGCTCAGGAGAAATATGCCATTTAAAATCTCCAGGGAACAGCGATCATTTTTAGTGACAGTCTTCAAAAGGGTTTTTTATGCTTTTACTTAATTTAATCTCTTGAGCAGTACACAAAAATCAAAGTGCAAGATGGCACTCTTTGATTAGAAAAATGCTTGAAGACCAGGACTTGTGAGGAATGAGCGCATTGCATGCATAGAACAATGGATAATATCACTGTTATTTTTGTTACATCCCTGTAAAAGTTAAAGAAAATGAAGTCTGATTTGAACAGGAAAGGGGCAGTGTTACAGGGTCAAGTGCTGACATCTTCACTGGCACTAGTGCTAATTAATTGTTAAGTCTCCTGTGAAACATGGTTTTATTCCACTTGAAGATAACCTTTAGACCAAGGGTCCCATTCTCACTGCTTACAAATTAGCACCAGATTTCCCTTCTCTTCTTGGAGCAGCATTTTATTCTGCAGAAAACAGGAGCTCAGAATGGAATTTCTTGCAAGGTTAAGTCCAAATAACTGCAAGCACAGAACTGGTAGGAGCTCAGCATGACAGAGAATTACATCTCAGCCTCAACTGCACTGTGCTGCCTGAAATTAAGGGGGTACTATTGATCATCTGTGATTAAGAGGGATTGTCTTCTGAAAGCTGGGGTGATTCTTCCAGGTAGCTAATGATGGCTTTCCAGCCATTGGATCTAAGATTTGTCTTAAGTAACAAATTCCATCCAAAAATACATGTTTCCAACAATTATCAAATTACTCCACCTGGCTTACTAGGGAGCAGTGTGGTCCCCTCCCACACCTGGAGCTTGCAGTCTGGCCAGGAGGAAAGCAGATAAATTTTGTGCTTTTTTATCTTGGTCTTTTGAAGTGAAATAACAATAAATGAAGACTCCCATATGGTGTCAGGCTGTGGATCAGAAATAAAATCTACAAACCCCTCTCTCAAGACATGCACTATATTTTAGATAAGTCACTGTTCTTATGCCATGTATATTAGACATGCATTTGTCTTCCTGATTTGTGTATAATGCTTTATGTGCTTATAGAAAGTGGAAGAGTTTTATCATTTATTGATGTTGTCCTCTGAAGAGCTGCTAGCAGCCTTAATGCAGCAAAGCTTCTACTAGAGAAATAGAGGTCTTTCTGATCCCCATTATCTTTAGATACTTCAGCGTTATTTGCATAGCTGAAATGTGCATGTACTTTATTCTGTGCTAAGTTTATTCTTCCTGAGAGATGGCTTTGATGATAACTAATTATTGCAACTTTGAAGCATTTAGATAGCAGTGGTTTTGATTTCCTTTTTTCCTTTCTGTATTATACGTATGCAAAATCACGCAATTAATTGGAAAGTAAAGTACTAGTATTAAGCAAATTTTTGTAGACTTTTCCTTCCCAAATTTTAATCTGTTAATTTTACAGTAATTATTTAGGAATTATATATATATATATATATATATATATGTTATTTTCTTTAATGTGACTTGAAAGCAGTAAGGACTGGAATTTTTCGAACTAGTTTTACTAAGTGTTTCCATAGTTATTGTCGAGACGACACAAATCCCATACATAATACCTTCATCAGCAATCACTTCCACATTTCTATAATGTCTAGAAAGGCACAAAGGCAAAATTCTCTCCAAATGGCCAGGCCTTGAGTTAACTTCACTTTCACAAACAAAGTTGTTTTCTTTGAGCCATAAAGACACTTATTCATTAGGTGTACAGGAGTTTATTATTGCTGAGCTTGTTCCCACTGTAAAAGCTTAGGAGCATTAAGATGAGAGGTGGTATAAAGCCATGTGACTTCCTCAATTCTTTCTTTTCCACTGTAAAAGGAAGAACATAAGCTAAATGAAGAGAACAAAAGTTGTTTGTATGTGTTTGTGCTGTTTAATGGCAAGGATTTTAAATGTATGATTTTTATTGTTATTTTCTTACTTTAAGAAATGGCTGCTGTTTTGAGCATCATGGCCAAATTAATCTTGCAGGAAAAAAAATAATTTAGCCATGCTAAGAGTATTCTTTCTTCTTTGTCTCAAGGTATTCACCACCCTGTCCGTGACGAAGCGTTCTGGTGAAAGCATCGCTGTGAGTGGATGCTGAGGTTAAATTCCCCCATCCTTGCTATTGCCAGAGACTGACTTTCATCACAGTGTCTGACTCCTGCAGTTCTGAATAAAGGTTTTGGGAGGAGTCGCTCTTGGACACCTGCAGAAAAGTGTAGATCTTAACCTGGACCTTCCATCATCCTAAGGAGAAGAGCTCTGTGGGAGTTGGTCACTTGTGGTGCCTGGCTGGCAATTAGCAATGTGATGGGAATCTTGGCTGTCAAGTTGGTGATTAGCAGGGCATTTAATGAATGCCTCCATGAAGTCATAGCCTGAAGCCGGCATTGTCTGGTGGGCAGTGATGGAAGAACTGCTAGCACAGCTGGACAACAACTGTTTTGGTTTGGATTTATTCCCCTCTAGTTTCTTTCCTGAACATTCCCTTCTAGTTCTTTCCAGAACAAAGAACTTCCCAACTCAGAAAAATCCCCCCAAGTTCAGGTAGTTATATCAGATTAAATAGTTCCTGTGTTCTGGGTCATGACACAGCAAATGCAAGGTCTCCTCATGAGCATACACTTTACAGCTCACATGCCTATGGAGGGCAAGTTCTACATGTTTGATCATGAGGAAGAAAATAGCCCTGGAAAAAGGTTTAGTGCCACCTAAAATAACATATTTCTTGCCTTCCAAACTGGCTCTGTTGTGACTTTTTATTTAGAGAGCCTTATTTGTGAAAACATTCTTCTCAGTGAGAAAGGAAAATAATTTATTAAGGCCTTTTGATACAGAATGTTATTGTGCTTCTTCCCTGAAATCATGCATATAATGCAGATGTTGTGATCTTAGCTCTCTCTGGGGCTAATGTGATTATTATGAATCTGATTTGGAGCTGACAGAATTCCAATGTTGAATGAATTGCCCTTCCAAGAACTCTGTGCAGCTTCATTACATTTGAGTAAATTTCTTTCTTTCCAGGTGAGCTGTTATAAGCTGCCCTGTTTCAGGTCTAAACTGGCCACTTTGAACACAAAAGTATTGAGATTTCCTGGAGATTAGTGAGCCCTTAGAATAAAAAAAATTATACAACCAAACAACACCACCCCGCCAAAACAACCAACTAACCAAACCCTCCAGCCAAACTCCAAAAACCAGTAGTGAAAAATCTGTTGCATAGATTGGGTCTAAAATTCTACTTAGTTCCATGTGTGCTATGTTTTATATTTAATTAAGAAAACAATACTTTTAAAACAGAGGTTTCAGTGAGAATACCAGTTTCTTGAATATCCCTCCTGTGTTGGATAAGCTGTATGTTTACTTGTCAAGAAATGGCAAAAGTGGCTCTTTGTAATGGAGATGAATGTGTTTTTTGATCTGTTTTTCTATTTCCCTCTCTTTTAGCAGAAAGGTTTGGATTACTTTTATTAAGTGGTTCTTGGGAGTTCAGTAGTGCAGCGTGAACAGGGGGTGAATTCCCCAGCCCTGTGGGCAGAATCCTCATGCCTAAATTCCTACCTGGTATCAAATTATTGTATTTCTACTGAAATTTCTAAAATAGTGTTGTAAATTATTTTTATAAACCCGTACATAACTGAAGGATTTTTAAACGTGTTTTGTATAGTATCTAGAATGGTCTATGATGGTACTTTTCTCACCAGTTTAATAAATAAATCGATTTGCACAAACAGAAGCTCCTTGTGATGCCTCTTCCAAGCAGACGCCAGAGGACAGAAGGCGACTGTTTTTTCAAGGGCCAGAAGAGGGCACCGTGATAAACCCAGCTTGATTTGCCTTTGTCTCTTGCATTTTGAAGGTAGATATTTCATTTAAAAACAGGGTTTGAGGCTGTTTCATGTGCATTTGTTTTGCATGTTTAATATTTGAGAAGGACATACTTTAAAACACAAGATAGGAAATAAATCTTTCGCTATTTGCACCAGCTGCCATCCATGTAACTTATGAAAACCCAGGAGTGCAGTTTCCTGAGGTGCTGGGCCGTGTACCTGTTTGTATTTAAGCACTTGGATAGCAGCATTTTCAAGGAGGTATCTAAGAAAGTCAGGTCCTGGAGATCAGGATCCTTTATTTCCTGGAGGGAGTAAAGTGATATATGAGCTTGGCTTTGCAAGGCTGCTATTCTTATGGGTCATATCATCATTAATGATGCATGTTTTTACACTTATTGCTTACAATTCAGTAGGTGCTGGGTTTAATTACTTCTATTTTTACTTCAAATTTAAAATAGACTTTTTTGGTAGGGTTTTTTCTATTAATTCTCCATAAGGAAGACATTTTCAGGTGTGTATTTATATCATCTGTGCACAATGACAGAGGGATATAATCTATTATCAAATAAGGATTTATTAAATGCCAAAGCTAAGTATTCAGTGTTTTTATCAAATTAAGCATACTTGGGGTACTGCATGCTTTGGAGACACATACTAGAAAATTGACTAAGCTAATCAATATTTATTTTCTGCTTGTATTTATTTGTAATTAACATTTTTGTATGCTCTTACATGAGGGTTAGAATCATCCTCAGATACTACAGATACAAACGTTGACAGGAAATTTCACAGATTTGAATAGGGAATTTAATAGAGTTTCACTGACAGCTACCAGAATTTTTTCTCTTTTTTTCCTTTTTTTNTTTTTTTAAGCTCCTCTTCTCCAACTGTTCATTCCTCTTTTACCTCTCTCCCCTTGGTGCGAGTTGTCTGAGCAATCCTAACTTTTCTGTAAGATTTGTATTCCAACTTGCATCCCACTTTCCCTCCTTCAAGGGCTGCTGCCTGCCCAGAGCCCCAGTGCAGGAGGCTCCCTGGCTGTGGAGCCGTAGGCTGGGCAGGACCTGTGTTGGACAAGGTGCATTTCCTGGAGATGCCATGGATTTTATGCTGGATGCCAGAGATTTCATGACAGGTTTGGTGTCTTCTTGTGAGTGTGGGATGACCTTGCACTTGTAAAGCCTGTTACTGATCCTGTCTCTGGCTGTGCCAGAAGGAACCAGATGCCTGAGTCTTTTACACAAGACTTGATAGGCAACTTTCAGGTCAAAATAGGGTATAAATGTTTGTGGTAACTGTCAGCCCTGCAGAGAGTGAAGTTTTGGAAGCCCTTTCTCTTTGATGACTGGCTTTTCTGATTGCTCAGTTGTCCTCGGTGTGGGATGGTGTGAGATTGTTCTTGCCAAGACCTGTTTGGCCTCCAGAGAGAAATTAAACCTGAAAAGTACAAAGAAAAAGCCTAGAAAGAAGGCACGAGGGGATCTGCCATGCCACTGGTCTCCCTTCTTCATGCACAAAATGGCAAAATGCTCCTGAAATATTTCCATCCTGGAGGCAACCATTTGTGCCTCCAGGATGTTTTGGTTTGGGGGCTGCTGGTGGAGGGGTGGGAATGCAACAAGGGCTTTGACATCCATCAAGGAGGGTGGGAAGGATTGCCAGTGTGGAAAGCCAAAAGGCACAATGCAGGTCATATGCTGTGATGGGTACCAGAAAGATTGGTGGTGGGGGTATGGCTGAGAGTGCTCCAAAGATTCCATGAGTTTGGGAAATGCAGGAGGGCCTCTCCAGTGAGGGGCTGCCCTTCAGCCTGGCCCATCCCACAGGGTTTGTGGGAACCTGAAGATCTGAATGTTTGTTTTTCTTTTATTTGCCAAATGCTCCTGACCCACGTTCTGCAGAATTTGTCTTTACACATGTGATTTCTTTTTTATTCAATTGTCCTTTTCATGACTCTTTTCTAGAAGCTAGAAATCTTCCTAGTTACACATTTGTCTGACAGAGTTCTCCCAGAGCATTTTTGCATCTTAAAATCATGAAATAAGCTGGTGCCAAGTGGGGTGTATATCAGAACAGTGAGGGAAGGCTTTCCTTCCCCCTAGCAAACCTCTGTGACTGGCTTTGCTCAGCACCACCGGTGACTCCTGACATGCCCCATCAAGCTGGCTGACCATCAGGTGCCAACAAGGGATGCTTTTCTGCCAGGAAGGCCATGCTGTGGCCAGACTCCTTGAGTGTGCCCATTCCCTGCTGCAAGTGGCCATCATGAGCCCAAAGAACTATCTATCTCCTTCTCTAGACTGCAACAGAAGCCAGTTTAGGCACATAGTGACAAATCTGCAGCTAAACCCCAGATTCTTCTTTCCTCTGTATATACCTGTCTCATCAAGTGATTCTTTCCATGAAAATAGGGTTTATCTTAGGTTAGGCACAGAGTAAATTGAGCTCTGCCTTTTCACTTGCTTTCAAAAATAAATGGTAACACATTTAGCCTGAAGATCTTCTTTCCCTCTTAACGTTATTGTAAATTGACCACCCACGATGAGAAGGGTGCCTATGCCATGTGGTGTGATGTGAGGTAGGCAAATGTGGTGACTTGCTTTTGGGTTTGACCCAGAGTAGCTTTTCACACTCTGGAGTTTCTGCACAATTACACATATCTATATGTATATACAGATACCTATATGTATGTACAGATATCTATATGAATACACATGAACTGTGGGATGGGGCAACTCAAGGTTTTCACAGCCAAATTCTTTGTGTGACACTTTGAGGGTGCTACATGGAAGGAGGGAAGATGCAGAGAGAGAAACTGCATGACATGAGTTGTATACACCAGTATACATGAAAAGAAAAGCTCATTACTTGTTTTATCTTCCTCTGGGCTGTGGGGAACCACAATGAAGCCACATGTGGAAGAGAGCATGGCAGGTCAGCACCATGGTGCCAGTGCAAGGGGGCATACAGAGAGACCACACCATCCTTATTTATGTTTTTCTTGGCTCTGCAAGCACCATTTCTTCCTTACCTCTACAGCTGCTAAAAATAACCATGTTAAATTAATGGCTGACACTCGCAGTAAACTGTTAAAGTTGCACTGGTCATTCCAACATGGCATGCCAAAAGAGCTGCTTATTGCACATTTAAAGCTTATGTCCTCCAGGTTTCTTTTAGTGGCTGAAGTTGGACAGGTAATCCTGATTGTGGAGACATTTACTTTTTCTTGTAGTAGTGATTTCTTGGAGAAGGGTCAGCTACAATCCAGGGAAGGTAGACTGGTGCCCATGTCTGAGGTGAGTAGTCTCCCTGAGGGCTTCAACAAATATCCCTGTGGGATATTTCTGGAGGACATTTGATGAGCAGAACTTGTCCCAGGGCTGGGATGGGTGAAGGCAGTGTGTTGAGGCTATTTC